CTTAGTACACACACACACACACACACACACACACAATCAATTACTTTAATTTAGTGCTGCCAAGAACGTGCTTTTTTCTGTAATATAATTCTTAGTACACACACACACACACACACACACACACAATCAATTACTTTAATTTAGTGCTGCCAAGAACGTGCTTTTTTCTGTAATATAATTCTTAGTACACACACACACACACACAATCAATTACTTTAATTTAGTGCTGCCAAGAACATGCTTTTTTCAGTCAAATTCTTTCTTTGACAATAAGTTAATTAAAAATACAACTTTAATTATCAAGATTTAATTATAATACTTAGTATGGAGTTGCAAACCAATGAAGTGTTAATTATGAAATAACGACAACCAAAGTGACCGAAGAGACAACTTACAAAGTAGACTTGCATCTATTCCAAGGTACAAGAGTGACTAGACGATTTCCACAAGACCAAGCAAAATACGATTCATCGGGTGCAAAAGCGCACTGCCATGTTTCCCAATCATTAGGGTAATAATTCTCGTTCACTTCAGACGGCTTTAACTGAGCTAATAATTTTGCTGTAGCTAGAAGATACAACAGTTGAAATATAAATTATTCACAAAAGGCACTGACAATATCGATTAAAACTTGATTTTCTAATCAATTAAGGTTATATGAAGAAAGAACATCACAGACACAAGTTCAAGAAAAACAGAAAAAAAAATACTAGCACTAATCTGAGTATAACGATCACATGGCTAAGTAGATTTTGAAAAGAACAAAAATCCTGATATGGGAATACAAGAGCAGTAGCATACTGTAAAATAACATTTTAATTAGAGGTATGAGCCATGATACAGCTTGTTTCAATTACAGAGAGGACTATCAGAGCATAACTAACTAATTTTGAACCTACAGCTTAGAGGGAAAGTAGCTAGTCAACAACAACATTTGGCTCTTCTTATCCGACCAAATGGTAGGATTTGACCAATCGTATAACACATTTTTGGACTCCAAAGCCCGTTATTTGTCGGAACACAAACCATGAATCCTCAGAATCACAGTTGAAGCACACTAACAATTAGGTCACACTCAGCCCAGGAGAACAGTAATATAGTTGAAAATTAGATTAAAATCTTGTACGAACTAAGCTATAGCTTCAAGAAATAAACCAAATGACAATGTTGTAACTTTGAGATACGTGGAAGATGCTAAAAAAATAAAAAATTATTACTAGTACTCAAATCTAGAAATTATGCATTTGAAGCATAATACAGGCCCTTACTCATTAATCTGTTATAAAGAAAACTTAGAAGTTCAGAGTTCGGCTTTTAATACACCGTGAAAAGGTCTTGAGCAAAATTACTAGAATAGCTATCAGACAAAACATGTTGAAGCACTAATACTAGCATGTGCTAACTAAATGTCTTAATCAATTCAACAGAATTTTAGATGTAATATCTAGTACACGTACATGTTCTTACACAATTACTTAATTCAAAGAACAAGTTTCGTCAACCATGTTACACCCGTTGTATCCAGTGCCAATGAAACCTGTCTCCCAATACCAGGATTCACCATGTCAGTAAGGATACCACAGATATTAAAGTGGTTTTGATGCTATATATCAACTTTCATGAACTGTTATGGTGTGAATCGGGTTACACATGCGAGCTGTAATTATTATCAATTAGGTGATTTACAGATCAGATCATTGGGTAAGAATTAATACTACAACATGATTTATTTAAACACCGTTTATGTTTGTGGTATTTATTTTATAAGAATTAACTTTACTATCATTCATTAGAACTGATAATCCAGCTAAACTGTCTTCTTATGTCCAGGGCAGATCATATAACCAAAGCATCAATGGGAGAAAAAAAACTGACATGGAGAACGTCATCGTTTAATTTGTTTTTTGTTTTTTTTGCCACTAGGATGAGAAGATTTAATAAATATGTCAAGGATCTTTCATTATCAAGTAAGGCTCAGTTTCTTTATGAAGTAATTACTTAACACAATTTCCCCAAGTTCACATGAAGTTATCTGTGTCAACAATTTGTTTTTGCAAAATTTAATAGTCTTAACTCAAAACAATCCCAAATCAAAACCATACACTAGTGTTCATGAATTAATATAAAAGATTAATACATGAATTTTGTTTAGATATTAAAACAACAATTAGATGTATATAGGGGGACACTAATTGTTCCAATTAATAATGAATACGCACCAACGACTCAAGATAATAACTATAGAAAGTGGTTTCTAGTTGGATTTTTTTTTTTTATAAACAAATTTTTTACCTCATCAAATCTTAAAAACTATTATCAAGGTGAGGTGAATCAGTTAAAGAAAAATGCATTTCTAATTCTTACTCGGTAAACAAAATTAATACATACAAATAGTACGACATGTATAGATACACTGTTCAATCATTTGAACTGAATCTAATGAAATTTCTAACAAAATTATTTAGACTCACCATCACGTATTCAGCATTTTAAATTACCTTTTAGTTTATTTAAACATTCACTAATCTTCAGATAAAGCTTTTAACCTCTAAACTATAATATGTGAAATTTGTGTAACCATCTAACATACAGTTCTTAATTAAGTTGGTTTTTATTTTGAAAGAGAGATAAAAGTAATATCCTACAGGCTGAATGCAATATTTTAGATAAAAAAATACAAAAAATGACAGTACGAAAATAAACTTACGTATTTCATCTCTTGTTTTATTCTTGAAACTTGCCATTAAATGAATATATAAATTGCAGTAACAGGCGTTTCTTCTCTTATTATATTGAATCTGTAAGGTAAATATTTGATACAAACTTTGGAAAAAAATGATATACACTTGAAGTATTTAAAAATATGGTTAGTTTTGAAATCTAAGTTGGAAGGACTAGCTTTAAGGTTTAGTTCTACACTAATGCAGTAGGCTAGAGTTACTTACAGCTTTTCAATGTTCAGATCTTGGCTTATTCTTAGTCAAAGTATTTGTCTACAAAACTGTGGTAGTCTTAAAAAGGTTTGTTACATTGTTTTTTTAGTGGGGGGGGGGGTATATTAACAAAATGTAATTTTTCAAAGTAAAATTTTTAAATATTTTGGCAATAGAGCTAAAAAAAATAAAAACTACCTTTACACTCCATATAATAAACTATTTTACCACTGTGGTTTGTTTCATCAGGGTCAGTAATAAAAGAACATTAAAGTTCTTTTATTACTGACCCTGATGAAACAAACCACAGTGGTAAAACTTAAATTAGTTGTTTTGTTGTTTTTCATTATCTGGAAAGTAAAGGTCTTTTTTTTTCTAGTTTAATTGCCAAAATGTATAAACCCTCTAGTATACAATATAATTTTTCAAAAACAATTAAATTTCTAAAGTCAAAAACTTCTTTCAAGACCACCACAATAAACTGATTAAACATGTAAATATTTCAAATCAAACTTATATTTAAAAGGAAAGAAGTTTTTAGTATACAACAGCTTTTAGAATGAAAATAAAAATAATTATGCAGAACTATTCATACAAACCACAAGGTGAAGAATACACTAACAATTAAAACATTTCACAAACAAAAAGCTATTTAACATAAAATCTACAAGTACCTCAGTGCTTAACCTTAATACACAAAGCAATGCATGCACAAGAGTATTCGTACTTTATCGACGTTCTTAGAAGGAACATATTTATTACTTGTAGCTTTCACTAATCAGTTTCCATCAGAGACAAACAATTTATTCAGTCATAGTACCAAAGCACCTAGTAAAACAAACACTGAAAAAATACATCTATTTATATTGAAGCCTCAAAGTTTTCAAGCAAATACTTTGGATTGTGGAATGTATTTCTGTCACTAACTACCGAATTAAGGAAACTTCCACTACAAGAAATTTTCAAATTCCAAAGTAACAACAAAAGGAAATTAATAGGCTATTTACAAACTGTCTTGTAAAACATATACGAGTACCATCTTAAAGCACCTAAAAAAAAACGTATCAAATCTTTTTTGTAGTCCAAGACCTACCATTAACATTAACTCCAACATATTAATTGTCCAGTAATTAAACTACAAGGTCTTATTTTTTAATATATGGACATAACATTTGAGGGACAGAAAGGGGCTTAGCCCAACACGGCTGTCCCATCATTTCATTAAATAGCCCTGACTCCCAAACCTTCATTTGAAGGCTTCAAATCATTTTGCATTTACCACAAATAAAGACAATTATCTCAAAGGTTTATTATCCTAATCAAAAAATAAAAACTTCAACTCTGTCAAATTTTAAATCCATCTCTTCCAGTCCTACAGCTCTTACCATTAAACAAAAATATAATATATAAATCCTATCAAGTTGCTTTAAAGTTTAACACTTCAATCAGATTTTTTCTCAAGATAAAAGAACTTAACCTGCCCTCATACAACAACCTCCTATTATTCAAATTCGATGACGAGGAACCCACTTTGAGACTAATAATGACTGGAGACGGCTTGAATTGGTAATGAAGAAAAATTTTAATATAACAGCAAATGTACAAATTTAGGAATTAGCTTTACAGAGCGGCACTGTCTGAGGAAGGAGATATCGTTTCTCCTTTTG